CCTGACCTTAGTTTTACTTACTTTCTGTTTATCTTCTAAGAGTAATTTTCCTTGCACACAGACAAGTGTTTCCACTGGAAGGGGGGAAAAAAAAAAAAAAAAAAAAAAAAAAGACATTTTTATTACAGGTCTTTACTTTCTAAAGGAACTACTGCCCAAATACATCGTCTTGTCCTGGTTTGGACAAATAATATCTCTTTAATCCCAAGTTTCCCCTGTGCTGGAGGAAAAAAAACCCTACTGGTATTCAAGCACCATATTTTATGTCTAGTTCAGTGAAGTCTACATGTCAGTCTGTAAAGAACTTAATTCTGGGATGTCCGTATCACAGATAGAAAAGTCACACCAAATAGGAAGCAAAGTATGAGCCAAAGCAAAATAAAAGTTCATTCAAAACACAGATGTAGATACAAAAAAAAAAATATCTAGACTAGTATTTAAGAGCTTTGCAGTGCTATTTAGCATTAAAATGTTAAATAGTATTCACTAATGCACAGATCTAAAAGGCAGACTATTGGAAACGTTCCCCCAGTTTCACATCACATCATTGACAATTACGTTGTGAACTGCTTCAGTTTTTCAAAAACCTGTTTGTTCTAGTTGATATTTTTCTTGTTTGCCAATGAAAGCACAATGAAGAACTTTAAAACTATTGGTGAGGTCAAAAGTAATTCTAACTGTTACTTCCCCTTCTGTCCACTATTAGGACTGTTACTCCATCCTACCCAAGTAATAAATATTTTGAAATTAACTAAAAATTAAGTTCTCCGTAACCTTTAACTGCTTATAAATCCCCACCATTTGTATCTAAGTAAGAAAATAGGAAAATACCATTGCCTGCTCTCTGCCCACCTCTCAGCTATTACCTTCCACCTAAAATCCAGTCACCATTGCTTCTTTCACCATGTCCTTGCAGTGGCTTCATCTTTAGCAAGACTGGTGGACTATTCTCCAAATCCTTTTTAAACAGAAACACCACTTTAGCATATCTCCAGTTCTTTAGAAAGTCCCGAAGTCCTTCATGAGTTCATGATTACAATTGCTAATGTTTTTCCTATACTTCCTCATTGATTATTGACAAAAATTGCTAATGTTCTTCCTGTACTTCTCCATTTACTTGAGCATGAACATCAAGCTCCTACAGTCCCAAAGAACAATTAGATAAGGAAGATATTATCAACTTCTTTTTAACAAGGAGTATGAAAAAATGAACTGTCATAATCTCAAAACAGCTCTCTGTGAAGAATGAAGCAAAGAAATCAATCAAAACAACTCCCATCCTTCATCATCTTTGCATCATCTGTTAGAAACTGTTTTCCCATTAAAATGACAGACATAGATTTTCCTTTGTCCTCCTATTTTCCATGTATTTAGATAAGGTTTTTCTCTTTTGTTTTATGCTGTAAGAATGTGCAAATTCCCATCCTCATAGAGCCAAGTACATAGGAGTGAAGGACATGACAATAGAACATAGATGAGGAAGACATATGAGGTCTCCTAATCCATCTTCTTAGGCTAAAACTAATCTTTGTTACCTGGGGCTGTTGCCAGGGAAGGTGAACAGTTAGAGCTCCCCAGGGTTCGCAAAGTGAAGCCCTTCACAGTGCAAAATGGCTCCAGACAGCTTAGGCAAGACCAAAAGAGTGCTAAAATGCAGATTAATGGCCAACACAGGAAAAACAGTATCAATACTTAGGCTCAGTATATAAAGAGAAGCAATCAAAAATTGGACGTGCAAACTATTCACATTACCCCAGACGTCTTTGTACACCCAGACGTTAGCCCAGAAAGCTGAGACTTCCCTGGTTTGCTGACAGTGCTGACTCATTGCAGTGAAGATGTCAAAACACATGAACAAAAAACGAGCTGAGCTTGAACGAACTGTGAAACCAACCAACAAGGGTAGTAAAGCAGTGGTTTGAGCAGAGGACTGTTTTCTAAGATATGGGATATCACTGGGATTAATTTCAAAATTTTAAATAGCTACATTTAAATAAAATTAAAAAAACATTCCTTATTCTGTACCCTCTCTCCATATAGTATTAGCAGAAGATAGAATGGGGTCTCTGCAGTATTAGACTTTTAACACTACAAAAACAATTTAAATGGATCTTAAATAACTTTAAACTACAGCTTCTGAGATCTTGCATTTTCCTCCTTAACTGGCAGAGTTGATAGCAATTTCTGTGCATAGACAATAAAAGAAAGCTGAATTAAGTAGGCAGAAAAAATAAATTTACCACCCCCTCCCATCAAATACCAATTTCCAAAAAAATTTTTTTAAAAAACTTATTTATAAATTTCATGCTATTCCAAAAGAGTACTTTCAAACTTTCATTAGTTTGAATTTACTCTTTCTCTACCTTGTAAGAGAAGTTTTAGAGGACATACTTTCAAGGAAGAATTGATAAAATAGGCAAGCCATAATAACCAAAATGATGTATACAAAAAATGTAACCAAGCTAACCCAAAGGTGTTCAGTAGAATGTGGGCAGTAAATGTTTCCTCCATTTACATTTCACTTCTGTATTTGTGTTATAGACTTAGGGGGGGGTGGTGGGGGGTGGGGGGGGAGTGTTTTCCTTATGTAGATAACGACCTTTACCCATACGATCACACATCAGAGCTCAGTTTATTGAATTCCCTTGTGCATATCCTTGAAAGGCTCTTTCTTCACCAGCCTGCAGGACAGAGCAATTGTGTCATCTCCAACCTTCACCTTCAAACTTCAGCATTTTCATTGATAATTGCTGCGTGTTTGACTTGCACTGCATTACTAGCAGCAAGCAGCTCCGAGTCATTTTCTAACACTATAGAATGCACCTGCAGCAGTACACCTGTGAAAAGAAAATCAACAGCTAAATAAAACAGTGTAAAAAGTAACTTGCTTGTCACTAGCAATTGGACACAAAGTAAGAGAGCCAGAAAATCCGGAGTTGTTGTTCTATGTACGAGCTCTACAGTTAAAAATAAGCATTCCCTAAACAGTCCACTTGCAGCAAGATCAGAGAAAGTTACTTTTGACGGACTACAAATACTAGAAGTAGAAAAACCTGTTTACCAGCAAAGAGCTTTAATAGAAGCATTTTGAAAAGAAAATATTCAGTACCTATTTTGTGAATGTTGGTGGTCTGTGCGTATTGCTCCCTCTAGTGTAAAAAATACAAAATCACAAACATTCAAAAAAACCAGTTTCGTGACAAATTGTTTTTTTTAAAAAAAATCATTCTCTAGCCATATTTTTCCCCTAAACATTTATAACATGATTTCTCACATTTTAGTACAAGAGAAGACAAATTTTAACTTAGTTTCAGCTTCTGATCTGGGTCTGTTACACTTTATTTGCAGGAAATGATCATACCAGAACAGAGTAGTGAATATGCAAATCTACACCCTGTATTTACTGCTGTAACGCTCCCCAAGACATCAGTAAGATACAATGTGGCATTCTCTTTTTTTTTCTCCACTAGAACACTGATTTCCACTCTATGTCACAGTTATTAATGGTGTCCTAGAAGACCTTGGTCTAAAATATACTGAGGCACATTCTGATATGCACGTATTCATCTGACTACTGTACCTGGTTAGGCCCTAGAATTTGGAAATAAGTGGTTTTGGAGCTTGGACATCCTTTCCTAAATAGGTATGAAATCCTGTAAAAAACCACAAGTCACACTGAAGACTGACAAGTCTGAGACTTTAACCCAATCTGAAGAGCCACTGGATGATAACTTGACTTCGGCATGAGAGTATGGTAACAGCCGCAGCCTCCCCTCAGACAGTATCTGGGAGGGTTTCCTGGGACAGTTCCCATCAAATATACAACAGAAAAACAACCTAGCCTTTCATGCCAGTTTCATCAAAAGAATATGCAGTGTGGTTCATTAGGATGCTTAACAGGCTTCTTTTAATCAGTAGTTTAACAGCTCAGAATTCTCTTAATTGCATACAGACACCTGTAAGATCAAGGCAGCAAATTTACCTTCTCCGAGAACTGACAGAGCTGTCTCTGAAGATAAAAGCCAGAAAATGAAACTTGGAAGTCTAGGCAAAATTCAAACTAAAGCTTTCACTGAAGACGTGATTAAACAATTCGTTACAGAATAATGAAACTAATGCTCCGCTTCTGTTTTCAAAAAAGTTCTTCCCTATTCCCCCCCCCCCACCACCACCATGTCACTACCTTCAGAAGCAGTTGAGAACTTGGGAAGCCTTCTAATGAATCATTTTGCAACTGTATGTGTAAGTTTTTTTTAACTTTACAGATATTAAAATTCTTATCATACAAATACCAAATTGTCATCTTCCAACTCCTATTGTAACTGCAATTTCAGCTTTCCAAGTTCTGACAGATCAAAAAAAACATTTCGTCTTCTTGCTAGAATAAGGCTGTGAATCATTATCCAGTTTCACACACACCAAATTTGAGTATATTTGGTGGAACAAGTCTGAAAAAATCTGATGCAGGCTATTTTTTTTGAAGACTCTTAACAGGCATTCCTAACAGACAAGAAGTGGCTCTAGTGTCTCAATACTGCACAAATTAAGCTCCATTCCCTTCAACGATGGTTATATGGCAGATTCTTGAAGTCATTACACTGAAGTTCTATTTAAGGCAAACAACCAAATTTTCATTTTATTTTTCCACCTGATGTGGCTGTTGTATCTATCACAGCAGCATACCTCAATGACGGTCCTTAACAGGATACCTGCCATCCCTACTCCCCCTAAAGCTGTGTCTACTATAAAGACCAACAAAACTATTTGCTTGATCATTTGTGAAATTTATCCAACTCATCTCTGAAACTATTAGCATCCACTACAGGCAACCAGTCTCGGCTAGTGCAGCTAGCTAGAATACCTACCATGCAGCGGGCTCAGTAAGGATGATGCTGCAAGCCACAGCAAGAAAAACCATCAGGTTCTTGAACTAGCGCCTCTGTAACAGCTCAGTCATGGAGTAAGAAATTGGGCTGTACAGCAAAATCTCAGGGGCTAAATTCAGGACAAAATTAACAGTTGAGAAAGAAATTTTATTTCAAGCTTCTAAGGGGGTATTACAAACAATAGAGAATAAAAACATTAAAAACTATTTAAAAAGTAATTGTCCCTTTAAAATAAAGATTCAAGCAGGTTTAACAATGAAGTATGCTATTCAATGAAGTTTTAAAAAAAGATTTTAAAAGTATTGGTTTTGCTGTATTTGCTAATCCTTTATAAAAAAGCTGGGCATAAATACTTCGTGCATTCATATGCATTATTTGGTGTTTTGTATTATATAACTTGGTACAGTATTTAAGATACCACTGCAAAAGAGTTCAAACACAGTGCATTTATAAATAATGGAGTCATTATAAATCACATTGCAAACATACCTTGCCATTTTCATTGTTACAAATTCAGTATTTCAGTGAAGGTAGGAATAAAGTAGCTACAACAATCAATATCTTGACTTTATTTTTTTTTCTTTTTAATATAAAAATGCAGTTCTGGAAACCCACCCTCCTTCTTCCCCCTGCCCAAACATAATGCTTTACTTCTTAAAAATAAAAATAAAGTACTAATTCTATATACATCACATGTACCATACAAAAATGTATCCAAAGTTTCTATTGCTACCAAAGTGTTCTAAATTAAAAGTTACATAAATCCCCTCATTGGAAACAAAAGATTACAAGTTACCAAAAAAATCAAATTACACACAAACCATCAAGTTATTTTATACAATTTCCAATACATTTTTCTCCCAAAGCAAGTTGTCTTCTCATGTGCCTGTATAAAAATGCATATCAATATATTTGTCAATTTTATTTTTCATTATAAAGCAAATTAATACATTTTCTACAATAAATAAAACACAGGGAGGCACACATATCAACAAAATTAAATCAATGGGAGATAAATGGGATATGGTTTTGAAAGAAATAATGTGCTTGTAGGCTTTAAGCCAGGTTTGTTTAAAACAAAAACAATCTTAAGTTATTTTGGGCAACAATGGAGTGTTTTTGGTGATTTGCAAGTGATGTACATAGTATAATTTTTTTCTTGATGTCTTTCTCACAAAGTACCCTCCAAAATAATGCAACTTCCTTTCTTAAAATACATATTTGTAATTGTAAATTTACATCAATCTTAAATATGTGGTACTTTGTGCAAAGAGCAACGATTTACACAAACATTCAGAAGTCTTTTTCAGAAGCTACAGACCAAGGAAGAAATGATACAAGCAGCACCATATTGTATATGATTTAGGCAAACATATATTTGATGCCATTTTGATATTAGGCTTTAAGATCCACTAAACACCTTAAGCTGGAAGATGGTGCTTAGGTAACTTAACCTCAGAAAAGAAAGAAAGAAAAGTAAAAAGCATGGAAACAAAAAACAACTCCCTCCCCAGCAAAATTATAAAAGGAATTAAAGAGCTACTTCTAAAATCAGAATAAGTTAAGTGTTGAATATACATTTATGTACAATTATGAACACTATGAACAAGACATTTTAACAGGTTTAGTGGAAAATCCTCCAAACTACAACACGAGAAAATCATTAATCAATATGGCAATGGTGATTTAGAAGAACTGCTCGACTATTTCAAGTTTGCAGAACTCAGCCACTGAATCAACAATTAAGGGGTTGTATCTTCAATACATTCTTTTAGACAAAGAGGTTCATTAGTAGAGTTCAAGTCTGTGTGGTATTTTTCATGCCTTGGTAGAATCTCTGTTAGTCAATATCACTGAAGTCACTGACTGGTTCTCCATGGACTCTACTCAGATGATTCATAGCACGATCAAAAGCAATTCTTACTGCTTTTCGTATGCTTGAGTTACGTCCTTCCATCATTTTTAACTTGTCTATGGTCTCATCTATCCCAAGGGGAACCATTTTGGATTTGGGAAGCCACTGCCTGTAAGAAAGAGTAAATAAGTACGTTAAATATAGCATAAAATCAAGAAGTTTTTCGACAAATGTCAGGGCTGCTATACTGTGTTTCTCATATAGCAGATCAGCTTTACCACCTATAAAGTGGTAAAATTCCTTAAAGATAGTACTTACTTGCATTAAATATTTTAAGAACATGAAATATTAAGAAAGCCTCTTCCACAAAGAATACATTCCAATTGAATGATACTTATTTAATGACTGATATTAAGTATCAACTGAAAAATAACAGCATGAAATACTGATGCACTTTAGTTTAAGAACAGGCAGCAGCAACTAACAATGAACGTGGCTCAAGATTCACTTGACACAGTATCGTTTCCCTTCATTTTTTCATTTCCATTGTTACCGGGAATTTGCAGATGATGAATTTTTGCCTTTCATTTAAGACATCTCAATTTGGTCTTTGTGGGGAAAGCCAAACTGTCAAGGAAGTTCTGCTCAGTATGCTTTTACCCTGCAGTATGAAATCCAGTAACTCAGTATTCAGAGTACTTTTCTGTTTTAAGCTCTGTGAATATCATTAATTGCTGGGCATAGAGTGATAAAGAAAAAAGCTCTACAACCCATTCTTCTAGTTAAAGGAAAAACATTCTAAGTATTTAATTAAAAAGCATAACAGTTTCCTTAACAGTTTATCTTAATCCTGTTTTCTTAATTTACAGGTATTAAGGAACATGAAAATTAGGTAAACTAATAGATATTCATTAAAGTATGTTACTGTAGTCTGCAATCCCAAGCCTGCAAATGCTTCTGTTTAAAAACTTCAGTTTGAGAGGCCATTTGGAGCCGAACCAACTGCAAATCAGACAGTAAAGTCTGATATAAAACATTTTATTCAAAGATTTTTTTTAAACTGAATAAAATGCCTCTTGAAATATTAAAGCACTCTAAACGCTAGTGCACTGAGCACATACACTGAAACCAAAAAATGTAAAGAGTCAGTACAAGGATACAACAGTAAAGGACAGTAACAGCAGCACAACAAGCAGCAGTCTAACCATTATCAGTTTTACTACAGATTAGAGGGAAGTTTTAAGAAGAGATTTTCAACAGAAACCTTGCCAAGTCATCCACATGCAAGCGGCAATGGAGAAGAAACAAGTATGACTATTTGAAAAGGTAATCTGTAGGTGATAGAAGCTGGTATCACGGACTGAAGATGACATATACCCTGCAAGTGAATGAAAATCATACGCAGGAGTTCAAGAGACAAAAGTGAGTTATGAGCGATGAGTGCCAAAACGGACAAAGAAATCAGCATAAAAGAACTACTACCAAAAATAGGTGGGGGTGTGGGGTGAGAGGGGAGGAGGGGAAAGGGGTTGGAAAAGTGTTTATAGCCTTTCCTGTCCATCTACGCAGAGTATCCATTAGAGACAGCTTTGCATACTATTTGCAAGATTTAGGACCACCTGCATATGGCGACGCATCAAGAAGGTTTAAGCTGGAGAGGACTCCCAAGATCAAGAAGCAATCACAGCAGTTACTAAGAAAGCGGCTAGGGAGAGCATGCATTACACTTGTGATACCAATAAGAGAAAAATGAGAAACAGAATACTGAGTATGTTTAAATTTGGACGTTCTCCATGAACAGAGGCAGGACCTCATGAAATCCTGTGCAAAGGAACAAAGATGGATCATGAAGAATTACCAATGAATCAAGGAAAGAATTTAAGAACAGACAGAGCAAGCCAAAGAATCGTGATTATGCCAAAGGATCATGATTATGCCAAAGGATCTATGGGGACAGAAAAGCAAACATCAGTTCTAATTTAGGCAAGAAGTTATTTAGGTGATAGTGTACTGGGACAGAGAGAGTCAGAAGAATGGAGCATTTCCAGACACCACATATAATGAGCTAAAGAGGAAAATGGTATCTGAAAGTGCAAGCAAATTCAAGAGTAAAATTGAGATAGAAAAAACATTTAAAGCTAGCTTCACCTGCAGGGAAACCCGGAGAGCAGAGGGATTAAGAACACCACAGGAAAGAAATATATAGTTTGATGAAAGGAAGAAAGAGAGGTGAATGAAAAGCTTCCTTATCTGGCAAAAAAAACCACTCAACCAAAAAAGACCTAATGGAAGGGGGAAGAGAATGTTTTATTGTGTGAATTATCCCTTCAGGCTCCACAGAGCATATTGCTGACACTGAAAGAAACAGAAAAAGGGAAAGTTTCATGAAAAAATTCAGAAAGGGCTAAGAACTTCAAATGAGAGTGTTAATAAAGCATTTAACTAGACAGGTTAAAAATGTAAAGAAAATGCACTTGAGCAGACTGAGGGCAGAGGGGAAGTGTTGTCATTCGGAAAGCAATGATGAAGGCTGACAAAGATAAACAGTAAAGACCTTTTTTAAAAAAAAAAAAAATCTGTTTAGCTAAAGAAACAATTTTATCAGGTCAATAAATTAAATCAGCTTGTAAATCAAACCAAAAGACTATTTAATGACTTAAGTTATTTTCTTCCAAACTGACCATAAAAAGGTCTTTCAGTGATAATATGCCTCAGTCCAAAAATAGACTCAAATATGAAATTTTAACATTACAGTTCATACTTCCATAAGAAAGATATCCATGGAAAGATAATATTTCAATTTTTTTTTTTAGACTAAAGGTATAGGCTTTTAGAATTTTAAGTCACTGCATCAAACAATACATTTCAATAACATACCAACTTCTTTTATTGTCAAAAAATAGTACTAAGAATAGTTTCTCATCTGATTTGGTCTGCATTTGTTCTCCAATTTTCAGGACATCCAGAGGTGGCACTGGTATAGTAACACCGTTGTGATGGCCAGCAACACGAGGCATCTTAGGGTCAATAATCTATAAAAGAGAAGAAAGGACAGTTTCTAGTTTTTAAAACTACATCATTTATTTTAAGGAGGTATTACAAATAAAGTTAATGGGAAAAGAATCATAAACTAAACAGCCACTGTATATAAACTGGCTTTGTGTTAAACACTTACATAACTTCTTGACATAAGCTGAATAGGCATAGTGGAGGCACAGGGTTAGATTTAACAGAAAAAACACCCCTACCTCTAGACCATTTTTCCCCCGTACCACTTCATTCTTAAAGTCAAAACTGAATTTCTCTTAGTACAACTCTGCAGACTGACAAGCAGGTTTCAGAATGCGAAAGTTGAACCAGGATTTCTAAAAGCCATAACTGACCTCCAATTTTGGGTTTTGAATTTCAGAAAGAACAATCTATGTTAAGGTATAAATATTTGTTTCTGCAAAATACAAGCCCCACACTCAAAATCTGGAGCAAAAAAAGCCTCTAAATAAACAAAATAACCCAAATAGAAAAAAAGGAATCAGAAGTCACTTTCAAATATCTTGCATACCCAATTTAATGCCTCAGTTTCCAGTAAAACATGCCGTTACAAGTCACAAATTCTTTCTAAACAAAGGCTGGCGGAGGGGGGAAGATGCTGCCAACATTAAACTAATCAGGCTGATGGAAAAACTCCTTTGTAGGCAGATCACAGCATTATCAACTCTGTATGCTTACATTTCCTGATGCTCCCAGCACATATATATTAAAAATCATTATTGTCCAGTCTATTATATAAATCAAGCCATAGTGTATGAACTGTTTCTATAACCTCAAATGCCAGAAGCCAACATTTTATCAACATTTTCTCTGCAAGCTTTAAGTAGAACTGTGTGTATTTCTCCTAAAATAACATGGGCACAACAGCTTTAAGCTCCCAGTACATCATTCACAACTGGATACAATCATTCGATTTATTCCGACTCAACCAAGTTTTTTGCTTCTTTAATGAACTGCAGCATCAGAGTATTTTTATACTTCTTTTGCAGCAGAAAATATCTCACAGTTCCAACACTAACAAGATGTCTGTCAAATGCTTACTCAGTTGTTCCTTCAAACAATAATATATATTGCAGAAACAAAGACTACTGAGACAGTTGTGCTGGTTTTGGCTGGGGTAGTTAATTTTCTTCATAGTAGCTAGTATGGGACTATGTTTTGGATTTGTGCTGGAAACAGTGTTGATAACAGAAGGATGTTTTCATTATTGTTGAGCAGGGCTTACACAGAGTCAAGGCCTTTTCTGCCTCTTATCCCACCCCACCAGCAAGGAGGCTGGAGGTGCACAAGGAGTTGGGAGGGAACACAGGCGGGACAGCTGACCTCAACTGACCCAAGGGATATCCCATACCATATGACGTCACGCTCAGCATGTAAAGCTAGGGGAAGAAGAAGAAAGGGGGGGACACGTTTGGAGTGATGGCATTTGTCTTCCCAGGTAACCATTACGTGTGATGGAGCCCTGCATTCCTGGAGATGCCTGAACACCTGCCTGCCCATGCAAAGTGGTGAATGAATTTTGCTTTGCTTGTGGGTGCAGTTTTTGCTTTACCTATTAAATTGTCTTTATCTCAACCCACGAGTTTCCTCACTTTCACCCATCCCACCCTGGGGCAGTGAGTGACCGATTCTCTCCCCCATCTCATCAGGGGAAGTGAGTGAGCAGCTGTGTGCTGCCTAGTTGTCAGCTGGAGTTAAACCACGACAACAAGTATTGCACATCTCAAAACATGGGTAGCATAGTAGAGATTGACTTAACACGGGATATTGCAATAATTTTACAAACTGGATGCATGGTAAAGAGTGCAGAATAATCCACCCTTATTCAACCCGAACGGGAATTTATCAATTACCTTAAGTTCACGCACTAATGTTTTCAGACCAGAAACAGTATCACTAGTGCACTAATGGGAAGCTGTGTACTTACCAGAGCTGGGTAAGAGGGATATCCACTGCATTTGGCCCATACCACTTTCAGAGGCTCAAGAACAGATGTTGCAGCATCAGTTGAAATCCACATACTGCTATGCCCAACTTCTAAGAAGAAATAATAATTAAATATAAAAGTTAAAGTGTTAAAGAATGAAACCTCAGACAAATCTTCTGCAGTTCTTTGTTTCCTCATGATCACTGGAATCCAAATACCAATACAACCTTTCATGCACATACCAATAAAAAGCAGGTAACATTCGTAACAGCTCTTTAAACGATACTAGTACTTTAATCCAAGCCTACAGATAAAGAACAAGTTCTAGACATTTCTAGAAACAGCGTATCTTAAACACCTTAATTCTCAGAAAGCAACTGTTTGCCAAATTCTAATAATCCTTTCCCTCTGAAAAAGCTGAAAAGAAAACATAAAATTATGGTACTCCAAATAACCGGTTTCTTTTGAAACTATGACGAGACGACAATTCTGTCAAATAGGTGATGGTATTGAAGATGTGAGCTGCATGGTATGTCTACAAAGTGTTGGATATCCATAGTAGGATTAGCACGTGATAACTTACAATGCTTGTCAGGTATACCTTTCTGTTCTTATGCATAAGTTCTAACCTGCATTTTAATTTGTTTGTTTTTAATCAGCCCTCTTGGTCTCTCTGCCCAGCCCTTTCCTGCAACAAAGTTCAAAAGGACCAACAGCGTTCAAGGAAGCAGCTGCAACAGTGGTTTCTTCCTTCTCAGCATAACAAAAAACTGAGTTTATGTTATTGTTCACTTCTACCAGAATTCTTCTCTGTTGCTCACCACTGGATTGAATCATGATACAGGTGTAAACCTTTCAGTCAACTGAAATGCAACTAGCCCCCTAGACACACAGGGATACAGTCAAGAGACTGGGCAGAAGACAGTGAATTATTCCCTCAAGATGGAACTAGGGGTAGAAAAAGTAGGAAGAAGGTAATGAAAGTTCACAAGCTTTAAAGATGAGGCAACACTTCTTGTATGGGGAAACATGGTACCAAAACACAGTTTAGAGGCTGCAGTCATTTTTTTTTAGCAGTAAGGCAATACTTGGTAGAAGCAGCTCTCTACTTGCCAAAATACAATTTATTCCTAATTCTTTCCAATCTGCTCCCATTTAAAATGGGCAATGGTTATTGATAATGAAATGTGGCATGTAGATATGTGTTCTATCTCAACATCACAGAAAAGTACGGGAAAAAAACTGGTTTCAGACCTTGTCAGAGTAGAAATAGCAAGGAAAAAGTGTTTAAGGTGATCACACAAAAAAAAAAGCAATCATTCTCCACAATCAAACATGCAGAGACATGGTCAATTTCAGCCATAGGCTAATTCATTCAATTATAATTTATTTTTAATCCATAATGGTACCATTATTTCAAGAAAATACTTCATTGAGAAGTCTAAGTTTAGAGATTCACAACTATGTAACATCAGCTATCAAAATGCAGTAGTTCATAATAATTTGCCACCACATCATAACAAAGATATTAGACATTTTTGAAGCTAAAAGTTGTTACAGGTTCTATTATAGGTCTGGGTATCATAAGAGAAACAGAAAGAAATGCAGTTTTTCCAGTGTCTTTAAGAAAAGTCTCTTAAAGAAAACAAGGATCTTTGCCATCAATCCCAGCAGGCTTTACAGAGAAGATCTTTAATTAGTGGATTCCATTACCAAAAAACATGAAAATAATTTGTCTTATTTATACTATTTCTTACTAACCTTGGAAAATCAGTTACTAAATCTATTTAGTAGTTTATTTATTTGTTCATTTCTGTATATTTTAGAGAGGTAACACTAGGACATTCTTCACTTTCTCATTAAAAGACATAATAACATTCTTCATATTTATAAACATATAATACACACAAATATAATAAATATAGCCATTCTTATACTTCTAAGAGTATAGCTGAATACATAAAATACCGGATATTATGGAAAGACATGTTAAATCCAGATGAACTGTTTTGGTACTATCTCAGAATAGAACAATCAGAGCAATTGCTAACACAATAGAAAAAGCAATTTAGACAACTTCTTTATTTCTCTGCTCTATTAGTACCACTATGTTAAGTATTCACACACCAGTTAGAGTCATGAAGGTTTACATTAACGTATCCTTCATACACAGACTATTTTGAAAAACATATATGTATATGTAGAACTGTAACTGGTACATAAGAACAGCACAAGCCCTCTTCTTCAGGGCAGCTAACAAGACAGAAAAGAAATCTCCATTATTCTCAGCTGTAGAGTTGATAAGAAACAAAGAAAAAGGTATTTTAATGCTGAGTAGAAGGTCATACACAATCTGACAGGATGCATGCAGTGAGATTCCCTCAGAGACTTCTCAGGTGTAGAGTCAGTAGAGAAGAGTCTCAGAATTTTTCCTAGTCAGAATTTATTCCATGCAGTGATAGGGAGTTATTACACTAGCACATACAGTTACTACTTTTCTTTTAGAACATAAAACCACCTTTATTTCCTCAAGTTATGAGAGACAATGAATTTAAGTTAGCAGCCAGGACAATGTACTGCTAAATCCCACTAGCTGAAAACCAACAGTACCAAAATAATACAAACCAGATTTAAGATCCTACATAGTTTAGGGTAGAGATAAGGAGGTCTCATTATACTTTTCCTCCCCTTACAGATTTTTTCGTCTTACAGTATTTTCAAAATAACTAGTGTTTTTTTCAGTATCATTCTCATAACGGAGTCAATGTGTTTGATTTTTTGTGCGAAGTTGAGCGAAACACCCATTAGGTGCTAGCACCACAAACCTCAAAACTTTAAGGCACTTCTGTCTTCGAAAACAAAGCTAAGAACTTCAAATCCAGTATCTGTATAGCTTTCAGTAAGCAATGTGTGCTCTTCATAGGACAACTTTCTCTGAAACCAGAAACTTCAGACACAAAAAGGAAACTCTATTTTACTGAAAGATGTTCAGATTAATAGTGGAGAGTGTTATATTGTTCTGGGGTTTTTGCTTGTTTGGTTTTTTTTTGTTTGGTTTTCGTTTGTTTCAATTACATAGAGGAAACTTTGATTTTAATACCCAAATCTGCAGACACATCCACTGACACTTAGCATATTTAAGCTCCAAAACTACTGCCACCAAGAGGTAGCTGCGGTATCTACAGTGTAGATGGATCATTCTTCAGCACAAATGACAAATTGAGACTTTCCTTTTACTGTCTAACTCTTGGCTGGACAAAGTGTTCTCTCTGCCATCAGTGTTACCTGTTGAAATTAAGACCACGCAGAGGGGAAAGCTATTTAAGTCAAATGCAGCAAAATGTTCCCCTACAACCCGTCCCCTGCCCATTCTTGCTGAGCCCTCTGATGTGACTGAAGGGAAAGACAGTATCTAGACACTGCTGGAAAGAATACCGACACCAAGATTTACTGAGGAGAGAGGAGAAAAAAAATAAAATCTGACAAGGTGGATCAACTGGCTGGATAAAGATGGGGACAAAGAATTGAAAACTGGGACAAAAAGCATGAGAGCACCTGGGAATAGAAGAGCTAGATAAGAATCCTGGATCATGGAACAAGGAGGAGGCAGGCAAAAGGACTGGGCAAGGTTCAGGAGGGACAGGCAGAAGAACACATTACCACTTTGGCGCAGCAACTTCCTGACCTTATAAAGGAATCCAAGACTTACAAACCTCAGCACATCTCTGTGTACAGCAGCTATTAATGAAAGTCACTCATGGCACATGCCTATTCATCTTCCAGTATTCTCGCTGAGCAAGGACAACAAGCTATTACATACAGATAATTCTATTTGAAAATCAAGAAAACCCTAGTAAGTCTACAAGTCCAAGCCCCAAAAGTTAGACAGACTTCTGAGTCACTTTTGAAACCTGAATTCATCCTCTGTATTTAAATCTCAATAATCTTCCTATTTCAATATAGAACATATTTTTCCATAGTAGTCTTAACTTGTCCAGTAGACTGAGTGGACCTAGTTCTAAAGCATACCTCAGTCTCACAAGTCAAAAATGCTGAACGTGGCAGCTGTACTATGGAAAACAGCATGCCCTAACTTGCACACTTGGCTTTGTGATTTCAATAGCACCCTTGTAACATTGTTTGTGTTTGGATTAACATATTTCAGTGCGTGCATTACAATGATTACATCTATTAACCAATGCAAAACTGCATCCCATCATAACTGCAGTATTACAACATACCATAGGTTCTGAGACAGCATCCTGTAAACAGAAACAAGATATTCCTTAGACCTAAAGAGAGCGTAACTGTAGGCATTGTGTTTGTTTCTAAAGCATATATACTCTGTCAAACAGGGCTGTTTGAGACATTTTGCCAAGAATGAACAACCTGTTATTTACGTTTCTTTGTAAAATGTGGAATTTTACTAATAAAAGTACATAATGGTAAAATTCCAGTTATGCACAGAACGCAAGCAGGAGTTTCCACTTCACTCCTACTTATTTCTTCCTCTTGATCTGCTGAGGTAACAGGATGCACAAGGCAGCCAAAAGACCTCAAATTAGATAGAATATATAGTAATATATAAAATAATGCTGTTAAATGTAATTTGCTCCTCCTTTTAGGCAGTTGTAGAATGTATTTGCGAACAGAGACAGAATTAAGGGAGATCAAGGAGAGTTCTGAAAAAACAGGTACAGGAACTGTAAGTGGAAAGTGTTTAATGTAAGATTACCCAGAACAGAGCAAGAAAAGCAAACAGAAAAGGTTAAGTCCTGTGTAAGAGGTTACCATACAGATAATAAAGATACCAAACCTGAGAGTAATGAAGCAGCAGCAGAAAACAGGCTGCAAGAAAGAAAAACAAAACTGATCATATGGGGAGGAAAGAACAGACTAGGGCAAATAAAGAGTCAGATAAAAAGCACTAGGAAGACATGAAAGAGTCCTGAACAAAGAACATGTAGGATGAGGGGGAGAAGAGTTGTAAGGTCAGAAACTAAAGACAGGCCTGCTACCCACTGCAAGGTGGATGCCTAACTTCAGCGTGGGAGCACTGCACTACACAAACAGTTCTACTTATGGAAGAGATGACCTACTTAAATATTGTAATGCAATTAAAATATTGAAACACGTGGAAAACATACCAACAGAACACAGTTACTTCCCTAAAATTTGGTAACTTGCTATCCTCTGCAGTCCTAGAAATTTCCACTTCTTTTCAAATTTTTCCTGAATCAAAGCAGATCATGTTTTACCTGTCTGTCAACACATTTATGCAGAACAGTGTATAAGGAGTAAACCCTAAACCAAAAAGCCCAAGAAAGAAAAATACTGACAGAACCAAAAATAGTACTTCATGCCAAGTTTCGCTTGTATTTCTAGAGTAGCTTGATCACTTTAAATATCACCTATTCATCAAAAAAACCCCAAATCAGGTACTATTCTTCTCTCTTCAAAGCCCTTAAAGAGTCAAAAGCAGAAACCAGTAGTTTCTGCAATGCTATCAAAACCACTTTCAGAATGCTTAATGTATTTCAGCAGTGAAAATAAGAATGCTAAAATCTGTCAAATAGATGGACAAAATTATAGTTATACAATATTATTAAGAATACAATTATTTATAGTTACCAGCTGCAATTCTTGCTGCTTTGGCATAGTTTCCATTTTCAATGCATGATATCAATTCACTTCGGTCTTCCAGTGTGTGTCTTCGTACAAGTGCAGGTTTACCTTTACCACACTTCGGTAGGCTGAAACTACGAAAGTATCAATATTAAAACCATTATTTGATAATTAACATTGTTCACTATAAATCAAGACTTTGAAAAAGAATTTAAAATTCATCAGTAAAATCAGAGCAGCAAGCTCTAACACATTTTATGTAACAAACACAAACAACAACATAAAGGCCAAAACCCCAGATTATTTTCACGCACAGAATTGTCTGGTTATCAGCAAAAGACAAACAGTATGCAGCTGCACCTCAACTGCTGTACAGGTTATACACACACAAATGAGAAAAGCTGCTTTGTCTCCAGTGTTACAGGGGATACTGGCCGAACGAAAACACCTTCCCTCTGCTCCAACAGTTCCACTACATAGGAAACACAATTATTTTCTCTTTCATTTCTCACTACAAATTCAAGTCTTTCAATTGTGGAATATCTATACACAAATTGGGAAATTTGTTCTCTGCACACTTGAGTTTACTTAAAGAGATCATAGAATCTGAACAGCAATTATTCTAGATCAAATCTTCAACATATCACATTCACAAGAGACGTTTTATTAAATTCTCTTAGTTTCTGAAAGCCTATGATCAAATCGTCAATATAGCACACTTGAGATGCAATATTAAACTCTCTTTGTTTCTGAAAGCCTGTTTGACACCAGCGTATTAACACCATTCCCTTAAATAGTTTAATACCAATTGTGACCACATGAATAAAGCCTTCTTTTTTCCTCTAACAGATTTACCCTATACTCCTGTATGCCCCATCCTCATAGCCCAGGACTGGAGATAGCTACCTTTCACCCACAGGTTAGTGTGCTTTTGGAAGATGGGCACCATTGGTGATGGAGAAATATTTATCAATGGTGGCAAAGGTGACAATTCTGACAGTCCTATCTTTAAGAACAGACTTCACAAAGAGAAGGTCAATAGTTGATATACAGGTACTGCCATCACTGCAGTAAGTAGCCAGTAATCCAAATCACAGACTGATAATCTACAGTTCCACAGCTACTGAATCTACCTTCCCTGTGTACAAGACTCTGCTTTGGAAAATGCTTCTCTCCTCCCCTTACCAAAATAAACACACACATTTTTAGCGTTCAGGATTAGGAAGGTAATTAAAACAAGATACATACACGTTTGTGTGTGCAGTATCTATACAGAGCAAAAGAAGCATATTCAAGTATGAAGTGCAACTGCCCAGATCTGTAATAACCTGAATTCAACAAAAGAATACTAGCAATCCTGAAAGGTGTATCAGATTTGACACACAACTGAGAAAACTGAAGAGTACTCTTTTTTCCTAAAATTTATGCAATCCTCCGATGTGGGTCACAAGCAATACAGAAAACTGATATATTCAGTCTCAAATTTATATTTCAGATTTAGTTTTACCTTGAATTACACAAAAGACTGTTGCTAGATGAAATACTAGATTCTGATGCACAGCGGCGACGAGGTTCAACTTTTCTTCCTGGAGTATCATCTAATGTTCTCTCTTTACTTCCATCTCCAAAACCATTTGACAGACCTACAGCATAACAAAAATAAATTGCATCAAATTGGAAACCACATCTTTTTCATTAACTACTTTTTGTATTCACACATTGTATCATTGTTGTTCTGTACTTTAAGTATTTTGATGTGATGAAAAAGAAAGAACATTAACAAAGTATTTAATTTCAAAACACAGTATTATAAATAGGAGGTTCCTGTAGTCCAGATTTTAAAGACAGGATGGAAATTTAGGTAACAAGAAAAAAGTGAAGATTATAATATGGGAAATGCTAAATGGAGTCTCAAATCAGTCTTTGTATGTAATGTTTCCAACTACTAAGACAATCGGGCTGCAGAAGCTGGGTAGAAAAAACAAGAAAAAAAAAAGTTACAACCAGGCAGATTTACCAAGTCAACACAACACTCACTTGAATACAACGTTACAACCATAAGTCAAGAAACACTGAAAATCCTTTTCAAACACTGGAAACAGAGAGTGGTAGGGATTCCCTCCTGACGTTATCTACTTCTTCCTGAAAGTCCTTCCATTTTAGTAAATTCAGACTGACATTACCATGTCTGTTTTCTATGATCAACAACTAACAATATGCACATTATTATTTTTGACTAATCTTTTCCTGGCACAAGTTTATACATGTCCAAGGATATTATACTTTAATTTCCTGATCATAATGAAAATGTAAAAAAGGCTTTTATATTACAAGCTACTGATCTGATGGGCTGACACCAATCCTGCTCTGTGTTTGCTAATTCACAAAAGGTATAGTTCTTATTAACATTACAGTTCTTATTCCATTTCTGTATTTGATCAAAGAGACAAATGAAGAACTTTAAGACAGTGTTCTGAAGACTTTCCCAAGGAGATGTGTGTAAATTAGGACTAAGAAAAGAAAGAATCCAACACAGACTCAAGAGTATCAACACAAACGAACTGGCTAAAGACAGTAGTACTAGCCTGCAATCAGCTACTGCAAGCTACAGACTGCAAAGAGAAAACACTTTTAAACGGATTAAATTCTAAGCACACTTATTTCCTTACAATAAATTAAAGTTTTTACTTAAGGCATATGACCAGTGTGCTTCTCATAACGCAAGAAAGAGCTACCCAATCCAGCCATTCTATTATCAGAGTATTAAAGGTGACCATGATCTTTCTATGTTCATTCAGACATAGTCAAACACACTTATGTAACTTCACGTGCCTCTCCACAGAGCATTACGCTGTAAGAAAATTATGGCAGAACTCCCTTTATTAAGTTCTAATTCTTCCAGTCTGTTTGCTATGAAGATCTCTGTAAAGAAGGCTGACAACCAAGGAGCTTGAGCTTAGCAAGTTACTTCATACGATCCAGTCATATTTCAAGGCATTTCCATACAGTGACTTAAGGGATTTCCCCCTCCACCACCAGGAGACCTTCCATGCGGATTATCAACACAATTTTAGATTTTTCAAGAGAAAAAGGAGAATTTATTCAATGGTCAGAAAGATTTACCAATAAGCATTCTCCTTCATTGTCATTTAGTTGACACTGTAGAGCATTCATTTAAGAGTGTCTGTTTTTTAACTCCTATATTTGCCTTTGATTTCCTATACAAGAAAAAAATTATAAGGTAGCATTGTCTTGAGTGTTCAAGCACCAAACTACATGCTATTGATTAATCTTGTTCTCATTCTCAGCAAGTCAGTACAAATAGCTGGAGATTAAGGAGGAGTTCAGTCCTAGACTATGCTGAAAGATCTGTCAAAACAGAGTAGGCTTTATGAGAAAGCTTAAACTCCCCTATAAACTATTGCAGTACATTTCACATAGCATCTGAAATGAAAAGCTGAAAAAATATTCTGCAAAGATACAAAGGAGATCTCTTAGGTCTCTGCAAATAACTGGTTTTTATTCTTAGATATCCTGTCAGACCTACTTCTCAAGTGAGGTGTAGAAACTATTTTGTTTTCACCCTGCCACAAGCCAGAGACACATTACTCAAGTCACCACTCAGGCATCTAGCTAATATGAATCAGCAAATCAGCAGAGATCACAGATTAAATTTCAAATTTAAAGACAGATCAAGTAATTACTGCCATCAGAACCAGAGCACAGCTCAGATTCCCAATGGACTGCAGAAGTGCAAGGCAATATCTGTTTATTCTTGTAAGAATAATGTATAAAATGTTTAACAATATGTATGTCAAATATGACTTGACTACATATCTCTATGTACACTGGTTCCGTATGTGTATGTACATCCAGGACAAAAAAATATTAGGGAGTAGCTTCACATTTTGATTGCTTTAACAGTTTATGATTGTGCTGCCGTCGAAATGGACATTTTGGCACTCTCGGTCCCTTGCAACGGTTGCTTCTCATCATCACCATGTCAGTACCAAGAAATAAGTGGTCATGGTAATGCACTAGTTTTCAGTGATGCACTGGGCAAAGCAACCATGGGACTGCCCAATTGCTGCCAAGAAACAAAGGATGCAATGGAAACATTCAACTACAGCAAAGGAGACAGCTCTCTGCAGTGGTAGTCCAGTCTTATACACTAGTTTAAACATAACTTATGAATTTAATGACTTATTTAATGAACTAACATAGGTTTTTAAGAGTACAGTAAGCAAAGTTTTTCCAATCTGTAGAATAGTTACTAACAGTGGGGAAAAAAAAATTCTGACAAATAAGGAACATGAAAGTGCAAAAGAATTTAGAGCTTCTCAGACACATTTCTCTTTTGCTTGTGGAAGTATGAAAAACAAAGAACATGCAGGTTAGCAGCAGGAGTAATTTTCTTGAATATCTGGCCCTGAATGACATGAGCTTATGCAGTCCATAAGACTCAAGTTTACACAGTCCACTTCTCAGAAATTATAAGGAATAGGCACTATTTTAAGACAGACAGACCTCAATGCTTATTTTAAACAAAACACAATCATGTCTAGTCACAGATGCAGCAGCTCCCAAGTGACCTTGTTAACTTGCCAGAAAAATCCAGACAATAAAGTTTAAGTGCTTTATGGTATCACTGATGTGCAAAAAATAAACAGATACACTACATTTACATGCTATAACTGGGAATTCGGGGGTTTTTTATAGATCATTACAAAACTCTTTCTCCCATGAATCAAGAAACACCCAATCTCCTGTGGCTACCAGAATAAGTGAGGTTAAAGAAGATCCCCATTTGCTTTAAGGAATTTGCATTTTATTGGCTCAAAAGATATTACTAAGAAGGTCAAATAAAGAAAATCCACGAGAGAAGTAACTCATCCTGCTTTTGCAGATTAGTAGCCTGGGTAAACTTGCAACAAACCTCTATGAGACACTTACATTTTCCATGATTTTGTCAGATCAAATAAGCTTTCTCTACAGTCATGAAAAGATACTTTATGAGGTCAGGTACTGGACTTCTTACACACACTTCCTCACCAACATCTTTGATTGAGAACAACCTCCCTCAAAAAAAATCCCAAATATCAAACTAAAACCTTTCATTAGTCAATGATTCCTCTTTCTTTTCGCCTCTATTCTCAAGTTTCTTCAAAAAAGCAGTCCAATCTGAAGGCAGAAGTCAACTTTACTCATTCGGGAAAAAAAAAAAAAAGGAATTCACAAATAGTGAAGTCTGCTATCAACCTTAAATGCAGGGTTACTACCATTTCCAGTCTTCAGCTCTGGACTTCAATTTACATAGAAAGTTTACTGCCATGTCAATCAAGGCATATAACACACACAACCATTTTAAAAATAAAGAAACACTAACAACTGTAAACTAAGAAGAAAAAAATAAGCCAAAGATGATCAGTTTGATAGTTTTTCACAGGTTTCTCACTGCCCTGAAAACTCTATTCACCAGGGAAAGTTTCAACATTTTCTCAACAGTAGCAGTGTGTTCTTAAACTGCAATAAAAACTTCCACTGACTACCTACATCAAGCAACTTAGAATCTTGTTGCCCACACCAAATTAATGGAAGAAGGGAAATATAACCCCCAAATGACAGCACAAGTTCGGGAAAAACGACAGAGGAACAAAGTCAAAGGTTAGCCCAAGGAGCAGCAAGCTCCATGAATGTACAAAATGCTGCCACAGAACACAGAATCGGACATTTCAGACTGTAATTGCATCTTGCAGTTCTGCTGAAACAAAAAAAATGAAGCAGAACTTGTATAAAATCATCCTAAAGTAATTAAATCTTTATTATGCATAGCTTGATGCAAAACCAAGCATATCCAAATGTAAGATGAAGTGCTGTATTAAAATCACAGCTGAAGAGCTGAGAAACAGTGAAAAGTGTTAAGTTCAACCACTAAAAAAGTGCAGGCATTCAAAAAACAACTGCACGCAGTGCACCAGCACTTATGTAACACTACTTAGGTTTGTTTTACCAAGCAAGGACTAATCAAGTCCTGACTTGTGCACTTACCCACCACCAGTGACATTAGTCTTCATTAAAATATATATATTAAAGAAAAAAAAAAAGTGTATTTTATTAGAACTACATAAATGCACAAAATTAGGTTAAACATTTTTTGGTACACTTCACTTCTCCAAGAAGATTAGACTGTTTTTTGGGGAAGGGAAGATGATGGAGATGGAACATTCTTAACTAATCTGCTCTCACGGAGCACGTTCTGGGAATAAGAACGCAGGGACTGATAAAAATCTGCGACTAATTTGTGTCACATATACTACAACATGTACAACTTTATAACTTACGGAAATGGGGCAATATATTGAATGAAGAGCATAGTTTCATATATGTCAAAGACTTCCTCCAACAGTGTTCATAATTTTTTTTTTGTTTTAAGGATGGCTGGTGTCTCCAACATGATCCAAAATAATTACTTCAAATGTAATTGTCTTTCTGCGTTCCAAAATGATCATTTAATTGAATTCCATTCCATGTTGAGGATAACAGAAAATAATTAGGATCCAAAGAGATAAATACCCAGCATGATATTAGTTAATATGAGAACCTGGAAGACAGTGAAAAAGCCATTAAGTCTCTCTGAAAGGAA